AAAATACTGTATAAAATAAAAAAATGACACGATGTCACTTTTTTTACAAAAGTGACACAAATAAAAAAAAAATGACACACTGTTACTTTTTTATAAAAAATGAAATACAATGTCACTTTTATTTTTAAAAAAATGATGTTTATTACTAAAAAAAGTGATAGAATTTCAAAGAGTTCAAAAAAAAAAGTAACAAACATTAAAAAAGTGATAAAAATTTAATAAAAAGTGGCGAATACTAAAAAAGCTGACACATTCAAAAAAGTGACAATATTATAAAAAGTGACAAGTTGGTAATTTTCATATTGATGTAACACAATTGAGTTATTATTTGCCTGATCGAGGCATGGTTTGGCATGGCAGAAAAGTAACAAACACTAAAAAAGGATAAAAATTTAATAAAAAGTGACAAACACTAAAAAAAGTGACATAAATTCAAAAAAGTAACGATTACTAAAAAAAGTAACAAGTTGACAATTTTCATGTCGGTGTAACACAATTGAGGTATTATTTATCCGGTCGAGACATAGCAGAATACCTTGTACAATGTGGTTGTTTTGCACAACACGTACATATGTACTCGCATATATTGGGATCCCATAATTGACAGAAAGTGATTAATTCCAAAATTCTTGCACAAATTACTGATGAATTATTGCTTTCCAATTATATATATATTCTTCTCTTTATTTCTTGAAGTCGTAGTCCAATTCAGAGTCTAATCGTCTTCAATTTTCCAGTCAATTCCAACCTTCTTGTCCAATTAGGAGTCCCAAACAATAAGAAGGGAAATGCCCCTAGAATTTTCCAATCAATTCCAACCTCTTTGTCCAATACATTGTAATCACATTCTCGCGGTGGTTGTGCGTGTGTTGGGGAGAAAACATGGGGGATTTGGCTTTTCAATTTCCATTTCTGCAATGCGACGGAGGCTGTGGCAATAGAGGAGGAGGTGGTGGGTTTCCATCATTTCTTCCCAAGAAAATTTACAATATCAGAGATTAGCAAGAATGGTGGTTCAGAGAATTCGAAGAGTTTTTGTGCAGATCTTTCAACTCCTTCCATTCTTCTTCTTCTTCTTCTTCCTTAACGCCACACCTTACATCACCATAACTATTAATATCGTTGCTGACAATATTGTTGTTCTTTTCCGGTTCTCGATCGGAATCATTTAGCTCGGTTTCATTGGCAGTCTCGTACCCATCAGAATCATTGTCGGAAGTGGTCGCCGTCACCGATTCAACGGTATTTCCAATTCCGTGAAGTGATTTTTCTGTCGTTGTAGCAGACCCGATTTGAATTGTGAAAGATGGGTTTGGAGGTTTGGGGGAGGTTTTAACGTATTAATTACGTTGTTCAGTGATTTAATTAATAAGTAGGGTATTTATCAAATTAGTTAATTTTTTAGGGTATTTGGCCTAATTTCCCCTTTCCTGATTGATGCCAAAATCCTAATTTCCCCTTTCCTGATTGATGCCAAAATGAGTCGGGCAGCCCAAATCTTGAATGACCCACCCCATTAAAAAGCACAGTGAACCTAGGCTAGATCGATTCGAACCGATTCACAAAGTGGCCCACCATAATGAACGAGTCATGTTGGGTTTGATTGTCTAGTTCGATAACTCATGCCGATGCCGCCGATCCAATTGGCTCGATTATTAAAAATTAGAAGTAAAAGTAATTAAAAAAAATACCCAAAAACCTGATAGTATACAATATAAAAACAAGGGGGATTAATTTTAAATTCATAAATCAGGGATTAATTTTAAATTCATAAATCATGTACTAATTATGAATTATCAATTTAATATTGTATTAAATAAATATATTACTAATAATTCAATCCACCCACCCACCTCACTTTCACACCAACCCCACTCATTGTATCTCACGTTCCCCTCTCTGTTTTTCTATCTCTATCGCCCATTTTCGATCTCTGACTCTGGCGAATGACCAGTCACCGAGATGGCGTTGTGAAAACCATAGCGACGATGACGCTGCAACAATGGAGTGAGTGTCGCTATAGTAGCAGAGAAGATCTGGGAAAATTTGGGAAAAATTTCAGCTATTTTCAAATAAGTTTCAGTAGTTCAGCCAATGCCAACACATGGAGTTTTAGCAGTTCAGCAATACATAAGGATAGGACGCGAGTATCAGGTTTAACTTCGAACTTCAACTATGATATCAATATCTATACTTGGACTTGACGGACTATTGTGTTGGTAAAAAACCTAATCATGACAGAAAACATACTTTTAAGCAATATTGCTCAAGACAACAGTCAACGCATGACATAAATAACTGTACATAAACTTGGGGGACTATTATTATGCTTCGCCACCTAGGCTTCCACGCGACCCAGCCGACCCATCGAAGCACATTCTTACCGAAGCAATTCATGGGACTGACCCCTTCAAAGCCCATTTGCTAAAGACAAATCCGAGATCCAAATGAAACTTCTTTGCCGAAGCGGTGAGGTTCAACGAAGTAGAATCGAGGCTCAACTAAGGCTAGTAACGATCCACGTTTGAAGATCTTAAATTTACGAAATCCTTTTAGAATGATTGATTGGATTTTTGTAATGAGTAGAAAGGTCAATCTTGTTAACATAGGTTATGGGGCTGTTGCCTCCTTTTTAGGATATTTAATGCTTCACACGTTATGGAGTTAAAATTGATACCTAAGATGCGATATTTCGATAAAGAAGATGAAGCAACGTCTCATCTCATCCAATGGTTACTATTTCACATATAACACTATAAATATCCTCTATTTGTGCCATTTGAGGGGGTAATGCAAAAAAATTGACTGTAAGCCATATATTTTCCTTCTTTTTTTTATTAATATTGGGTTTTTAGTGTTTGAGGTGGCTCTTAATTGGTCATTCGTTATATTTCAACGGAACTCGAACATTTTTATCTTGTGTTATAAAACTTCTCCCACGTCCAAATCTTGTTTTATTATCGATTGACAATCGTTCCACGCGTATTGAAATTAGTTTGAGAGAACGTGAGTGGGCCAATATCTGTTGTCCACATCTACGGTGCGAAAAACAAGGTCAACAATCTTCATGGTCACGATTCATTTCATCAGTTAAAAGTTTTTTGAAATCTCTTACTAAAATAAACGAAGACATCTCTTGACATATTATCTATAATACATATTACTGTTCCATCCACTTATATAAGTTTTTCAAAATTAAAGTTATCTTGCTAGCGATCAACCATGTCACGAGAAAAAATTGAAAGGGCTAGCTTTAATATATTTGAACATGATTTGATATAAAATATTGATTACAAAAATAATTAGTGATTTTGTTTCTAGAAATGCGAGAATGAGTATTTTTACATGATTTGCCACATTTGACAATTTATATATTGTACTGCTCGAGCTATTTTTCTGTTTTTTGCTTCACAGATTTGCACATATGGAATTTCTCAAAGATGTTAATGGTCTGGATGATGTTTGTGTTGGGAATTTACTTAACATGCACAATGAAAAATTAATAACTTTTCAATTCCTACCACGGATCTGCTTTGTATTTAAATAGAAACTGTGTTTAAAATAATACATTTGATAATTTTGTAAACTCTTTTACTGATTCTCGAACCCTAATTATCACGATCTGCAATCTAAACTGTCGCAACGAGGCGGGGCGGGGCGGGGGCAGGGATGCCCCCCCGGTCCCCCGCCCCGTTAAAAAAATCAATCCCCAACCCAGCCCCGTTCCCCGTTTAAGGTGGGGCGGGGCAGGGGTAG